CTTCTTACTAGCCAAAATGTGGAAACAACCCATTCATCAACAGAAAATGCAGTGTGGAATAGCCATACAATAGACTAGTATTCAGCAATAAAAAGGAATGAAGAACTGTTACATGCTACAACACGGATGAAACTTTAAACACTGTGTGAAGTAAAGAAGCCAGTAACAACAGACCACATATTACATGATTTCTTTCATATGAAACTCCAGAATAGGGAAATCTTAAGAGACAGGAAGTAGATTAATGGTTCCTCAGGCCTGGCAGTGGGGCTGGGAGGAAATAAGAAGATCTATACGGTGTTCCAAAAAAAACATATTCACATCTTGAATACATTTCATTTTCAAAATATAATAGACTCTACAGACATTGTGTATATACATTTTTTTGAACAGCCTGTAGTAGTGAGAACTAATGGGCATGAGGTTTCTTTTCAAGGTGATGAAAATGTTCTACATTGATTGTGTTAAGGATTGCACATATCCATGAATGTACTGAATACCACTGAACTATATACTTTAATTAGGTAAACTGTGTAGTTTGTGAATTATATCTCAAATCTTCTAAAAACTAAATGTAAATATGTATAAGGACAAAAACTGATAATTCTACTACATAATCACATTATAGTGTTTTTTTAAAAAAGAAAAAAAGAGTATTATATTTTAGTTACTACAGTTAAATTACTACTAACTTAATTTCTAGGCTTGAAACTTGAGAGATGCCTTCAACTCTCCCTTGTCGATCATTCTCTAATATCCAGCTAATTACCAAGGCCCATTGATTCTTTCATCATAATCTTTGATTCTTCCATGGTCTACTGCCACCCTTAGTCTGGTTCTGATCACTTCACGTATGCACTATCTCTGTTCTTACTATTTTCCTCTTTCAAATCATCAGACACTGCCAGTTTTTAAACCCAATTACAATTTTTTCAATAACATTCTCAGAAGACCAATGCCCATTAAATCAAGTTTGGATTTTTCCTACCAGGATTTTGGATTTTCCAACCTGCTCACAACTTTGTTTCCCACCCAGCCTCATTTCCTAATACATCCAAAAGGAGAACACTTTAGTCAAGGCAGAGCTATTCTTCACTGTCCCTTGTACATTCTACATGCATTCATATCTCTGCCTTTTTATCAGGCTATTCTACTCTAAATGCCTACTCTCTACACTTACCTATATCCTATAAATCATTCAAGACTATTTCAAAACCTCACATCACTCATGAAGGATTTGTAGAGAACTCCAACTACAAATGATTTCTTGTATCTCCTAGCCACTTTTAGGGCTTATTGTATGTACAATATCTTAGCAATATGTATGTACATATCTGGGCAATTGTTTTACATGCCCCTCATCTTAGCATTTGATTTATCTGTCACATATTTTAGCTTTTGATTTACCTACCATCTTATTTCATGCCATTCTATTATTCCATACAGAAACATCTTGTTTCAGTAAGATTCTCTCCTTCTTTAAACAAGGACTACCACTTTTTTGTATCACTGAGACCCCGCAAATTTATACAATTAATGAGCTATTTCAAGATTAATTTAACTGTGAACTATAATTCACCATCATATTCCCCGTCATTTTACACACCTTTCTACTATTAATGCAATTAATAAACCCAAAGTCTAAAAAATGAATACAGTACCTTGTCATACTGACAGACAATTACATTATCCGTGTCAAACAGGTCTGGCACATCCTGTTCACTAACATCATCTCCAGAATTTAAGGGGTCCTAAAGATGAAAGATGAAAGATGGTCACATTAAGGAATTTAATGATGCTTTGAATTTTTTAAAAGTAGGCATATGTACATATATCTTGGAGAGTCTGAACAGTAGTGTACTTAAAAGTCAAAGAGCCTGGGGTTGACTACTTATCTTCGGAAAATTATTAAAACTCCTCATATCTCAGTTTTCTCATCTGAAAAAAAATGAGGTTAATAAAACAACCCATAAGGCAGTGGAAATGTTAAATAATGTAAGGCAGATAAGACTTAATATGATACCTGGAACATATGCAAGAACACCATAAATAACAGTTATTACTACTTCCATGCTTCTTAATTACCATGTTCCATAAAAACTTTGGTACATTTATTAGGATTAGAGTAAATACTATATGCCTCTGTCCTGGCTGCCTTCTTTACCTACACTTCCATCCCCTAAACTTCCCACAATCTCTAGTTAACACCTAGAGATGGACAGGCTATTTTGAGCTAGAACTTATCCATGCAACTGGCTACTTTTCTTTTAGTAGTTTTGGCAACCCACAGTTCCCCTTATTGTTCCACAGACCAGTGTTTTGTTCTTCAAGAGTAGTTCAGCTGTAGACACGCTGTTGTAGTAATTATGTTGGTAAATATGATGCCAAGAACCAAGAAAAGACTGTAAGACGGATAATATAGTCTGTTGTAACTTTTTGCCTTCACCTGTATATATCTCAAAGTTGCAATCACAGCACTCTCACTTTCACAAAGCATTCTTACTAAAATTCCATATTTTATTGCCAGATTATATGTCTTGAATCTGATGGCGTCCTCTCCATGGAATCATTACTTCCTCAAGTGATAACTGCTGTTTTGGTATATATAAAATTTAAATTTCGAGATAGTGATCCAAAAGAGGTCTGACTTTGTAAGAACGGTCTGTGTTACATGTTGTTTGTGAATTATCATTAAGAATGTAAGTATTTGCTTGAATCTCTTTCTAGTCACAGTTTTTGGAAATATGGGTGATCAAGTAAAGGATCAATTGACTGGTAATCCTCCCATTCTGGCTAGTTAGTCTCATCAATATAATTAAATGAAGAAATTTCTTTATATCCATATAAGTAATTCAGTCCATGTTGAAGTTTTAGCAGAGGCTTTGTGGTATTTTTCCATTTAATACTGGTATAAATTGATTTGAGAAGTAATGAGATCGAAAAAATCCTTATCAAAAAATAAATTGGTTACTTCACTTATACTTTGTGGGTCCTCAAGCTGAACAGTTATGCTTGAAATATTTTTATAACCCTCCAAGGCTGGTAAAATATCTTTTTTTTTTTTTGCCCATTCTTCTTTGGAATCACTTTCACTGTCAGGTACTATCACATTTCTCTTTTGCCTTCGTGATGGTCTAATGTCAGACTCATTACTATCTTCTGATAAAGTACTACCTTTCAACTGACTACCAAAGTCACTCGGACAATCAGACAAAGTGGCTGTACATAATTTGCTCAAACATTTCTCTCTGCTGCGACATGTCTTTTTAAAAACTTTTGCCATAATAAAAAATGGATGGAAAGAATTAGATGCTTGTCCTGTCTCTGGAAATACTGACTGACGAGTTGAGAAAAAGACAGAAGTTAACTCGTGACCTGTCAGCAGCATTCAGACACAGAAACACGGTCAGCAAGATGTTAAGATCAATAACTATAGTAGCCGATTCCTAAATACTTACTACTGGTGTAAATTACAAGTTTCAGATTAAAAGTTTAAATATTAGCATACAAATAAGTCTCATTTTAACACTAAAGACAAAGTTAATCTTAATTGTTATTCCTCTTGGTTCCAAAGTATATGAAAGTACAAATGTTGTAAATTGAATAAAGTAAGTTTCAACTCGAAAGTAATGCTCACCTCTTCCACAATATCTATTTGAGGGTCTTCGTTATCACTACTGTTAGTAGTTGAATCTCCATTTGATATGTTATCAGCTTCTCCTTCAAGTACCTTCAGGTCTCCTGCATTAATAATCTCTAGAACTTCATGCTCATCTACATCCCTTGTACTTCCTATTTCATCATTGGAAGATGTATCACCAGTTCCATCTATTTGAATTATTTCATAAATATCTTCATCAGGTACCTGAATGCTTAAACCCATCTGAGAATTATAATCCTAAAAGGAGAAAGAAATGCAATGAAGTTTTCAAATTAAACAATATGTCTAAAACATTGAATCATACAAAATATAAAATTACTTAAACATCTCACAAGTGGTCACTTTAAATCTTTCTTTCCTGTAAGATGATATTCCCTAATTTTGAATAAAACATAGGAATAATTTTAAAATTATAAACCTACTCATAGTCACATATAGACAGCAAATGAGTACCCTGCTTTAAGATAGCATTTACCAGTGTTTATATAACTTACTTAAATTTATATAGTACCTGTTAGCTTTTAAATATTTCACATTACTTTAAACAATAACTCATGGAGTAGAAAGGACAAGAGATATAATGCTCAGTGAACAAATGAAAAATATAAAGGATTGCCCTAACTGAAATAAGACAAAGAAACAGAAAAATCCAAAATTATAGTTAGAAAATTCAATACTCCTCTCTCAGTAATCAACAGAAAAAGTAGACTGAAATTCAGTAAGGATGTAGAAAACCTGAACAACACAATTAACGATAAGTTAGCCAAATTAACATTTATAGAAAACTGTACCCCAACATGCAGTTTATAGAATATTCACCAAGATGGACCATATTCTGGGCCATACACCAAATCTTGACAAATTTAACACACACAAAATATGTTCTCTGAGCACAAAGGAATTATTAAACCAGATACCAGTAACAAAAAATCCCCAAAGACTTAAAAATTAAATAACACATTTCTCAATATCCATGAGTCAAAGAGTAAGTCATAAGAGAAATTAGAACAATTTAAATTAAATGCAAACAAAACATAACCTTTCAAAACTTGTGAGAAGTAGCTAAAGCAGTGCGTAGAGAGAAATTTATAGCATTGAATTACTATATTTAAAAAAGAAGCACATTTCAAAGCAATGGCCTAAAATCCACCTTAAGAAAATAGAAAGAAAGGACCAAATTAAGCTCACAGAAAACAAGGAACTAATGAGATAAAAATAAATAAATGAATGAAACAGCAGGGTAAAAAAAGTCAATTAGACTAAAAGTTCATTCTTTGAGAAGATTAATAAAATCAATAAGCTTCTAGCCAGAATGACAAAGAAAAAAAGAGAGAGACAAGCCAGATAAAGAATATTAGGAATTTAAAAAGAGGTGATGCCATAGATCTTAAAGACATTGAAAGATAGGAAATTATCAGTTATTTTGGCTGCTATAACAAAATACCATAGACTAGGTAGCTTATAAACAACAGAAATTTACTTCTTATGGAGGCTGGGAAGTCCAAGATCAAGGTACTAGGAGATGACAGCCCACTTTCTGGTTCGTAAGACAGTGCCTTCTCATGATGTCCTCAAATAGCAGAGAGGCTAGGGAGCTCTGTGTGGTCTCCCTAGTAATATATATATTACTTCAGAGAGGAAGGGAGAAAGAGAGATAGAAACATGAATGATGAGAGAGAATCCTTGATTGGCTGCCTCCTGCATGCCCCCTACTGAGGATCAAGCCTGAAACATAGGCATGTGCTCCTGATAGGAATCGAACCTGGGACCCTTCAGTCTGCAGGTCAACGCTCTCTCTATCCACTGAGCCAAACTGGCCAGGGCTGTGTGGTCTCTTTTAAAAAGCAACTAATCCCAATCATGAGGACTCCATGCTCATAATCTCCCAAAGGCCTCATCTTTTACTTACTAATACCTTTGGGAGTTAGGATTTCAACATATGAATGGAGAGGAATGTAAACATTCAGACTGATAAAAGTCAACTTACAAAAATTAATTTTATGTCTATATAGTAGCAATAAACAATTAGAAATTAAAATTTAAAGAGGGAAGGAGGGACAGGAAGAGATTAACTGTAGAACTCATATGCATAATCCATGGACACAGATAATAAGGAGGTGAAAGTCTTGGTGGGGAGGGGGAGGGAGCCAATGGCAGGGGGAAGGAGACATCTGTAATACTTTCAACAATAAAGATAAATTGTTTTAAAGGTGCATAAATAAATAAATAAAATGAGAAGAAAAATAATAAAATAAAACAATACTATTTAAAGCAGCAAGAGAAAAGCAACTCATCACATACAAGAGATTATCAATAAGCTAACACACAGATTCATCAGCTGAAATTTTGAATGCCAGAAGGCAATGAATGATAGATACATTTACTAGTAAAGTGCTGAAAGAAAAGACTCTCAATTGGGAATTTTATATCTGGCAAAACTGTCCTGCAAAAATAATTGAGAAATTAAGACATTCCCAGATAATGAAGAGAGAGGGGGTAGATATTAAAGTAAGATTTCTGAAGTAATAAATGGGTCAGTAGGAATTAACCAGAGGAAAGGATAGTGGGAAGAAAATCCAAGCACCAAGCAGAGGATAAAAAAGGCAAAAAGAGGGGCAAGAGACAAGGTCAACACAGAGATTCGCTTATAGTTAGCTTGCTATTCCTAGTAACGTAGTAGGCATGAAATAAAGGAGGAGTAAATAACAAATTCGAACTGAGAAAGAATATGGAAGTCCTTTCATGCCACATTAAGGAGCTTAAACTTTATCCTGTAGGTGATGAGCAGTCAGTGATTTGATTAGAGACTGCACTTTGGATAAATCTCTGGAAGCCTTGAGGAACAGAAATTAATAGTTAATATTCATTGAGCACTTACCATGTGCTAGGCAGTGTGCTGCTGAGCACTTTGCATTGATTACCTCATGTATTCCTCCCACCACTACAACTCTATGGTAGATACTATTATCTTTATTTTACATATGAGAAAACAGTAACTTGTCCAATTCACACAATTATTAAGGGACAGAGGATGGATTCAAAGTAATTCTGATCTCTGAAGCCTAATCCTTTAACCTCTAGGATGGATGGACTGGGAAGAGTAGAGTGAAAAATAGCAAAGACTATAGGCTAATTAATTATGAAACGACTATGTTAACCCAAATAAGAAGCAATTAGGGCAATGGCAGTAGGTATGAAAAGGGAACAGATTCCAGAAATATTTAGCTTTAAAAGTTATAAAAATTACATGATTCAGCCTTAAAAATGAATGAAATTCTGACATAGGCTACAACATGGAAGAACCTTAAAATATTATGGTAAGTAGCCTAGCCAGCATTGCTCAGTAATTGAGTATCAACCTATGAACCAGAAAGTCACGGTTTGATTCCTGGTCGGACACATGCCTGGTTTGGGCATGCAGGAGGCAGCCCATCAATGATTCTCTCTCATCATTGTTTCTATCTCTCTCTCTTCCTTCCTCTCTGAAATCAATTAAAAAAATTAATATTATGTTAAGTAAAATAAGTCAGTCTGCTTTCACTTAGGAGTTACACAGAATAGTCAAATTCATAGATAGAAAGTAGAACAGGAGTTACCAGAAACTGGGTAGATGGGGTGAGTAATGAGGAGTTATTTGTTTAGTGGGTACAGAATTTCAGTTTGAAATGATGAAAAGTTCTGGAGATGGGTAGTGGTTATGGGTGTACAACAATGTGAATGTCCTTAATGCTATACACCTAAAAAAGTATGGAACTATGCATTTGAAATGGTTAAAATGATATAATTTTGTGTTATATATATTTTCCCACATTCACAAAATAGTTTTTTAAAAGTACATAATAAAAGGAGAAAAAAAGAGCCAAAAAGTATTTTTAG